ATTCTTGCTGACTTCCCATCTCCCTTCCCGCTCCAATAAGCAATTTACTCCAGCATTCACCAGTTCCTGAAGTGGTTATGGCAATGCATATTGAAATGAAAGCTCCAAATTATCCTGCAGGAACAAAAGTGCAGCTCCTGCTCGTGCTGGGGTCGGGCTGGGAGCCAGCAGGGTTTGGGATTTGTGGAGATCCAGATCCATGGGATGGCTTGGGATGTCCCTAAATCCCTTCCAGTGCCAAGGGCAGGGACAGGTCCCACTGTCCCAGGCTGCTCCAAACCTGTCCAGCCTGGCCTTGGACACTTCCAGGGTGATCATTGCAGGGAATTATTGTATGGAACAGACTGGTGATGTCTCTCCATGGTTTTGTTCTGCTCTACACTGATTTATCTGGGTGTAAATCTCTCTCCAGCTGTGGTTCCCAGCAGGAAAGGTGAGCAGGGATTGCCATTCCCAGCCATTCCCAGTCATTCCCAGTGCCCTGTGCCCCCCTGGCAGGGATCCCAGCAGGAAAGGTGAGCAGGGATTGCCATTCCCAGCCATTCCCAGTGCCCTGTGCCCCCTGGCACAGATCCCAGCAGGAATGGTGAGCAGGGATTGCCATTCCCAGTCCCACTGGGGCTGGGAGCTCCCAGAGCATCCCAAAGCACTGCAGGGGGCTGGGGGCTCTCTCCATCACCCAGGGAGCTCCAGCTCAGCCTGGGGCTGAATTTGGGGTGGCAGAGAGGGCAGGGCAGCTGTGCTGAGCCCTGCAGCAGCTGTGCCAGCTGTGCCAGCTGTGCTGGGCTGTTCTCCCCAGCAGCCCCTGTGCAGGGCAGCTGCTGCTCAGGGAACACCCCACGTTCCTGAGGCACAGGGAAGGGGCATCATCACACTCAGAAAGTGCTGAATGTTTGTGATGAACGTGTCTGGGCCTCACAGAGGAGCAGAGGAAGGAAGGGAAATTTTCTCCGAGGGGGCTCCTGGGCAGGCTCGTGTTTCCCCAAACAAGAATTGCCTTGAGGAGGAGCCTGGTGTGTCCTTGAGGGGAAGGGGGAGCAGAGCTCAGGGGCTGCACGAGCTGAAGGAGGCTGCCTGCTCGGTAAAAAGTCGATTTTTTTTTAATTACTCCTCAAGTCTTCCTTGTTATCAAGCAAAGAGACTTCTCTTGTCCTTTGCAGATTGGCAGGACTGCCCCAAATTATCTCATCAGGATGGACTGTGCTTCTGGATGAAGCAAGTCCCTGGGCCCTGATCTCCAGAAGCTTCTGGGGTCAGGGGATGATGACAGCAGCAATAATGAACGTGGCTGGGTGCATTTCTGGGCCTGCCTGTGGGACACAGTGGCTGCAGTTGCTGATTTCCCTGTCCTTGCCCTCAGACTGGCTGTTGATGTCCCAGGGTGTCACCAGCTCCTCCTCCCTGTGCCTGGGGACAGTTTGGATGGCCCAGGATGAGCCCTGGGGGCTCTTCTCAATGGGCAGGGGAGGTTTAGATCAGATATTAGGGAAGGGGTTGTAAAGCACAGGAACAGGGAATGGTGGAATCTCCATCTCTGGAGGGGTTTCAGTGCTGTGGATGTGGCACTTGGGGACATGGTTTAATGGTGACCATGGTGGTGCTGCTGCTGGGACTTGAAGGTTTTTTTCCAGCCACAGTGACTCTGGGATTTCCTGATCCCAGCTGGTGCTGGTGGCACCCACCTGGGAATGGGCAAATTCCTCCAGAGTGAAGTTCCAATGGTGACTGAATTTAATGAGATATGGATTTATTCTGGTTCCTTCTCCCCCAAACCATCCTGCACTCCTGGAATGGGCAAATTCCTCCAGAGTGATGTTCTAGTAATGACAGAAATGGATGAGATATGGATTTATTCTGATTTTTTTTCTCCCCACACTATCCTGCACCCCTGGAATGGGCAAATTCCTCCAGAGTGAAGTTCCAGTAGTGACAGAATTTAATGAGATATGGATTTATTCTGGTTCCTTCTCCCCACTCCATTCTGCACTCCTGGAATGGGCAAATTCCTCCAGAGTGATGTTCCAATAGTGACAGAATTTAATGAGATATGGATTTATTCTGATTTTTTTTCTCCCCACACCATCCTGCACCCCTGGTCTCCTCTGCCTGGAATGGGCAAATTCCTCCAGAGTGAAGTTCCAATGATGACAGCTCACCCCTGTCCCTGTCCCCTCTGTCCCTGCTCACCTGTCCCTGCTCACCTGTCCCTGCTCACCTGTCCCTGGGGAAGGTTTTTGCTGCCACAGGGACAGAGCAGGTGGGGCTGTGGATCTGAGGGATCCCAGCCCAGCCCTGGAGCCTCAGCAGCCCAGATCTCCCCTCTGGATCCCATCATCAGCCAAACCAATCAGGGCACAGATTTCCTCAGATTTCCTCAGATTTCCTCAGATTTCCTCAGATTTCCTCAGATTTCCTCAGATTTCCTCAGATTTCCTGTCCTTCCCTTTCTGCCTTCAGCTGCTCTGTCCCTGCTGCAGTTCCTGGAAGTGTGGGTGGCCCTGTGTTTGGAACATGCTGGGAAATGCCTGAAATAATCTCAGGAATGGGCAGATGTTCTCCAAACGCCCTGTTTGCCTCTCCAGGCCTCCCTGGCTCTGCAATCACCCAAAACTTCACAGTGAAGAACATTTTCCTCCTCCCTCCCCCTCCTCAGGCTTGCTTTTGAGTAAAATTGGCCTCAATGGAATAATGAAGCCCTCGGAGTGTGGGTTCACATGCAGGTGTAATTCCAGCCCAGGTTATGTTCAGTTCAGACCAGAGGCTGATATTGCATCGTGACATTCAACTCCATCCAGCCTTTATTTGTATTCCAAAGCCATCCATTGCAAAGACTGCTCTTCATAAGCACAAAGAGCTCCAAAGCATAAATATTTATTCCTTAAAGGTTAAGATTGCCTTAAATCATTCCTGCTTATTTGGTGAGCAGCAGTTATAATTAAAATAAGCAGTTGAACTCGATGTGCATGTATGAAATGCATATATATGTGTATATAAATATATATTTATATATACTTGACTCTGGTGAGGATGGAAGCCGTGGGATAATTGCTTCCATCACATCAAAAGATGCAGTGATATTGTTCCTGGATTGGGTAATAAATCAACATAAAGAAGCAGCTGAAATTCTCTGATGGCAAGTCACGTTTGAGCAGGCGAGGTGGGGAATGAGCACAGCTCGTCTCGAGTGCTGCCTGCAATTGCAGGGGATAATTATGCAAGTTATGGAAATTATGCCAGGTTTGGGTGTAGAGAATTCATAGAGCCCAAGGACAGGGCTTGGAGCAGCCTGGGACAGGGGAAGGTGTCCCTGCCATGGCACTGGGTGGGATTTGGGGTCCCTTCAACCCAAAGTGCTCTGGGATTCCATGGGGAGCAAACCGGCCTCGAGTGCTGGCTGGAATTGCAGGGGATGATTGTGCAAATTATGGAAATTATGCCAGGTTTGGGTGTAGAGACTCCAAGCACGGGGCTTGGAGCAGCCTGGGACAGTGGGGGGTGGCACTGGGTGGGATTTAGGATCCCTTCCAGCCCAAATCCCAGTCTGGGATTCTGTGTTCTGTGCTGGAATATGGTCCTGTGGAATTGTAGGGACACAGATCCCTGGGAACGTTCAGGGTGTGTGAGTGGGCTTTGCTGACACACTGAAGGGTTCAGAAATGATCCAAGTCATTCCAGAGTGTGGAGGAGTTGGGATGGGAGCTGTGTGAGTAGCTGCTGAAAGGAAGGGGCAGGAAATCCTGCAGCCTGGGAATTGTGTTATTCCCAACTAGAGCAGGGATGTGTCTGAACAGTTTGTAAATGGGACATGGGGACAGCTGGACACCTGGAGTTACCCTGGCAGGACGTGGGCTTGTGTGGCTCAGCTTCTGAAGAGCTTGTGCCCAGTTAATTGGAAATAAATGCTGATATAAATGGAATAAATGTGAGGTTTGACCTCAGATTTGGCAGCGGGCAGGAATTCTGCAGGCCTGGGAGCCTGGTTGAACTGGGCTGGCTCTAGCAGCAGCCCTGGGTTACTGATTGCTCATGAATAATGCACAGGAACAAATCAGAGAGTTCCTGGTTTGGCCTTGTCCGAGCAGGCTGTGAATCCCTGGATAAAGCTGCACTTTTAAAGTATTGGCAAAATAATTTCCCGTGGACAGAGTGGGACACAAAAGTTGTGATGAGTAACAGTGGAAACCAGAGGAGTGTTATTTAAAATGAGAACACTGATCTTGCTGTGACCTGCTGGGAGAGCATTGATCTACCCTGGCAAATTCTTACTTTGAGGGCCACATTTTCATTGATTTTAAATTTCTGGCGCTGTTTATTGGCTGAGGATCCGTGGGCATCGTGGCCAGGAATTGAGCTGAGCACAAACCTTGTTTTAACCCTGCAGTGGGGGCAGGAGATGTATTCAGGAGATGAATTCACTGAATCACTGAGGCTGGAGAAGCTCCCTGAGATCCCCAAGTGCAGCTGCTGGTTCTGACCACTGCCCATGGCCTCGAGTGCCACTCCTGCCTTCATGTCCCTTCTCCTGCCAGAGCTGCTGCCTGGAGAGGCTGAGCTGGAGCAGAGACTGGGCAGAGCAAAAGGGATAAAATAGGAATTTATTGAAAGGATTCACCTTGGGCTGTGCAAGAGCTTGGATGGGGCTGCACCCAAATCAAATCCCAGATGGATCCTGAGTTTTACACTTGGATAAGTTTTGGTTCATTTACACATTGGGGTCAATTATCTAAGCACAGTCCCAGGCTATGGAGGCTCAGCCCCCTGGTTTGCCCCTCTTTCCTTCCCTGTTGATGATTTTTGGGTCCCAGTTGTCCTTGATTCTCCAGCTGGGAATTGTTTTGTCCAGCTCTCCTGTGAAGAGACCTCAGTAACACCTAATTTGAAGTTTCAGAGTTACACACTAAGCAGCAGAGAGACTGAAAAATACAAAAGCTCGAACCCGAGGCATCACCACGAGCTGGGGGAAAAAGCCAAGGCTTTTAAAGGGAATCTTTATTTACCAGGGCAAAACTCCACTCTTCCACTCTTCTCCATTCTTCTCCACTTGCACTCTTCCCTTCTGGTTTGCTGGCAGGTTCTGCCTCCAGGCTGGACACTGCCGTGGGCCCCTTGGTGCCAGCACAGGTCACCCGTGTCACCGCCGTGTCCGCGCCCGCCGTCACCCTGGTGGCCACCAACCTGATGGAGCAGGCACGAGCAGGTGGGTGCTGCTTCCAGGGCTGGAA